CTACAAATATTCTTTTAACTAGTTTTATTGTGTATGATTTTTAATAAATCATATGGTGGATTGAACATGAGGTTCTACACGTTTAAAAGTGTAGAATATTGTTATAAAGTGGTGATATTTAATTTAGAAGGGTTGGTGAATCGATAGGAGTCGAAATCGCCGGAAACTGCCAAGAAAAGAGGCTGCTCGTATATGCAGGCCACGAACACCGCCCGGCTTTCACGAAAGCCGCCCGGCTTTTGGATGCTGTCCAGAATTTTCACCTTCAATCGGCCTAGAACGGGGATTGATCGAGGGGTTTAGTGAATGCAACTATTGTAACACATCTTAAGGTGAGGATGACTGACTATATTGCTTATAATTAGTGAGTTAATTTCATAAGATTACCTAAGGTATTGTAAATGTGATTTTCATGGATTATTAATGATTTATAATGCCTAAATGAAAATAATACTACATATTGTTTATGAGTAAACGAAGCATGATATACAAATTTAGAAGAAATTGTGTATGATTATGTGTTATGAAAAGGATGGTATGATAGTGGAATTAACTATGAAATATTGTGATAAAATATACTTTTACTTCATGTAAAGAATTCATGAATGATAAAAGTGATATTTTTTATATTGAGATTAAATTATATTTGGATTTGAAAATCAATTGAAATGAATTATTTGACTATGAATTAAGAACTTGGTTGTTCTAAGATTATCCGACTAGTGTTGAAATACTAGTCGGGAGGTTAATATGAATAATGATGTAATTAATCCTAAGAAATTGGATTGTGAATAGTGATGTCTTAAGTAGTCTTAAGAGATACTTTAAAGTCAGATTGTACGAGTTCTAAGATATGTTAGGGGTGGGCCTTAAAGGCTACTCAAAATAAATTGGGTCTAGGCATTGACATTGCTTAGAGACTTAGTAACGTGACTAAGAGCCGGGCTCTAGCACGGTGTAGCGTTGACTAAGAGCAAGACTCTAGCACAATGTAGAGTGACTATGAGCAATGCTCTAGCACAATGTATAGTGACTAAGAGCAAAGCTCTAGCACGATGTAACGTGACTACGAGCAAGGCTCTAGCACGGTGTAATTATAGTAAATGAACGAGGTTCTCATATAGTACGTGAAATAACGTGTTAGGGTAAGGCCCTAGAACGGCGTAATAAGTTACTATGAATATATATATATATATATATATATATATATATATATATATATATATATATATATATATATATCGTGACTAGTAGTCACATGAGATATGGATGGGCGTTTTAAAATTAATATGGGCCCACAGGCCGACTACTTGACTTTTTATAAAGTAAGTATATTTTCAAATAGGGTAACCGAGAGTTACGGCCTATAATATAATATGATCCTAGATTGAGGGTCTTAGAAATTGAAACATTGATTATATACAGTGTAGTTGTCATTGTACTTTTCAAATGCTTCGAAGTACTGACCTCTCATTCACGGGGAGGCCACCTCACAGTTTCAGGTAGAAGTTGAGCTTGCTATTAGTTCTCGTTGCTTCGGGGAGATCTAGGAAGGAAGACGTGGTTCATGCTTCCTCCTTTTTTGTTTCAAAAACAATAATAATAATGCTCATGGATATTATTTTCTGAATAATTATTCGGAAGCTTGTATGTCTAAGTATGTCAAGTGTGACCTGAACACTTGTATAAATGTTTCCGCTACGTTATTGAATATTTTACATTATGTTTGTTTATGGATGTACTACGTGTGAATGATATTCCAGACACCTTGTATAGTATGGATGTGTTAGACTGCGGTTGATTATTCGAATTGTACTGCGGGTTGTTGATATGTCCGGGTAGGTCTCGGCGTGCCATCTGTCTCTGTTTCCATAGTCTCCCAGGGTTGCTCAATTGCCCATGTCAACACATCCTGTAATCCACGTGCTTCCGTTATGCTGGCATCCCAGGTTGTCGCACACGTTGCACTGCCACCTTGTATAAAGTACACATGTAACTAAAACTCTCCACAATTGAGCCATTTATTTCAAATAATCTCTATAATGTATTATGTACTCCTTTAACACTACTCTATTTTTATCGGAAATTTGGATTCTTGGGAGTTTAAAAGATAATGTTTGTGTTCAGTGGCGGAACTAGGGGAGCGAGTCGGTGCCAGCGCTCCCCCTTCTCCGGCGGTGGTTCTGTGTGTGTATATATATATATATATATATATATATATATATATATATATATATATATATATATGTATATATGTATATATACATATATGTATATATACATATATGTATATATATATGTATATATACATATATATGTATATATATACATGTATATATATACATGTATATATAGACATGTATATATATACATGTATATATAGACATGTATATATATACATGTATATATATATACATGTATATATATACATACATATATATACATACATACATATATATATATATGTACTACTCAAAATAAATTGGGTCTAGGCATTGACATTGCTTAGAGACTTAGTAACGTGACTAAGAGCCGGGCTCTAGCACGGTGTAGCGTTGACTAAGAGCAAGACTCTAGCACAATGTAGAGTGACTATGAGCAATGCTCTAGCACAATGTATAGTGACTAAGAGCAAAGCTCTAGCACGATGTAACGTGACTACGAGCAAGGCTCTAGCACGGTGTAATTATAGTAAATGAACGAGGTTCTCATATAGTACGTGAAATAACGTGTTAGGGTAAGGCCCTAGAACGGCGTAATAAGTTACTATGAATATATATATATATATATATATATATATATATATATATATATATATATATATATATATAATCGTGACTAGTAGTCACATGAGATATGGATGGGCGTTTTAAAATTAATATGGGCCCACAGGCCGACTACTTGACTTTTTATAAAGTAAGTATATTTTCAAATAGTATATATATACATGTATATATATACATGTATATATATACATACATATATATACATACATACATATACATGTATATATATACATGTATATATTATATATATATATATATATATATATATATGTATGTATGTATATATCTCAGCCTCGGTTCAGAAAGTATTCATATATTAAAGTGGAGACGCTATTTGAATGTATGAGTTGTAATAGTTTAAATGGTAGGGTGAAGGTTGAGAGAATTTTCTCTACCTAAATGGCCCCGGTTCAATTCTCAAGAGCAACAATTTTTTTTTTGCTTTCTCCATTATTGCTTCTTTAGACTTTAGCCCATTTGGTAATTATTTATATTCAATTAAATCACTCTAGGATGTAATGTTGTTTAAATCACACTTTTGAATTTCTATATCTTTTATTTTAAATTATCATTTCTTCAATTCAAATTAATTTTAATCATTTCTTCTTCTAATAATGACATATACGGACGTTGTCATTTAATGTCAAGAATAATTCTAAAACTACTTTAAGTTAATATAAGTATTTACCTTTTGTTTAGTATAATAACATTTTTATTTGAAACACACTACATATACATATATATAAGTTTCGGATCAAATAAAAAGAGTTCTTATCATGAAAATTGATCGAGAATAAATCTTGTGCATTTAACTTGAGATCCGATGAGTCAAAATCAGTCAACAATGCACTATATTTTATCAAAAACTCAGTGACAATTTGATAAATAAATCAAAATTTTCTCTCATTGTGAAAAAGTGTAAAATAAATATCTACTAGTGTACCAAAACGAGTAAAAAATGTGTCCGTTCTCATTTTTTACGGGAATACTCTTTTTATTAGAACCTCACTCTATATATATTAATAATTATTTTTCACTCGTTTTTATTTTATCCTAATAAAAAATTGTTTTTCAAAAAAAAAAATAAGAACACCCCCTCAAATTATTGTCTGGTTCTACCGCTGTTTGTGTTCATGTCGATTGACTATGGCCATAGATGGAAGTCGTGGATATTGATCTGAAAGGAGAGGCTGAAAATGGAATGGGAGTGAGAGGTAAAAATCAATGGACAAATACAGAGAGGGTGAGAATGAGTTTCTCCTAAATTCGTTTTCGAGCAGATTTTTTCCTTTAGGTAAACATGTCTAATCGCAACTAGGAGGTGCGGCGATATGGTGCGGCGAGGTGCGGTGATTGATGCGGTGCGGCTGAAGATAGAGAAGATGAGTTGTAAATGAGAAGAACTTAAATGTATGTAATTATCAGTCCGTAAATGAGAAGAATTTGTGTCGAGAATTGAAACATAGCTAACTATGCAAAGGTAGTAAACGAGAAATGGAGAGACAAGTGGGAAAGAGTTTCAGGAGAGGATTGAACTCAATTTATCCTTTCCAACATCATTCCTTGTTCGAATTATTTTATGAACATTCTAGGATTATTATAGTAGAACCATGAAAAGTAAGTATTATTCTTATGAATTTCACCAATTTTAAAACATAGAAATAGAACGTACTCAAGTCATAGACTCATAAAGATTGTTGTTGCTTCTATGTCTATCCAGAACAAAATAGAAAGAAGAATTAGTATTTATTCATATTGCAACAACTCATCCTTTTCTAGTCGTCCGTAATCACCTTCTTTTCAAAAAGAGATTTGTGGAAAGACTTTATTTTAGTACGCTTTATTTTTGTTTTGATAGTGCTTATTTTGATAGGCAGTGATCTGTTTCTGGCTATTTTAGATTTAAAACGGTCAGTTTTATATCTAGTGAACCAGGTAATGTGTATGAGGTGACTGACTCTATATCTATTCTTACCCATGTTACTATTATATCTGTAATAGTCATTCCAAGATTTTCTTTACAAAGTTTTAATAATAATATAAGCTGTTTATGATCAAAAAAGAAATGGAACATACTCATCGAATGATTTGTATAAGAAATACCAAATATCTGTCTCTCATATTCTTTCTTTTTTATAAATGTAACAACGGTTTTGTTATAAATAAAAATACTCGTGTGTTTTTCTAGGAAAAGTTTTTGCCGTGTATGGTAATGGTATATCCGTATGGATGAATTAAGAATTTTATTAGAACACAATTCCTCTGATGAATTTGACGGCTATACGTAAAAGCTGAGGGTCTCATCTCCAACACACATTTTCATTTGTAACTGATGAAACAGTGAAACACTCCATTTTTTCGCCCATGTGATCTCAGATTCCGAATCACACTGACCTTTGTCGTCTTCCCCCAACTTTCTGTCCTCTTCAAAAATTCACAATTCTCCTCCGTCGTTTCGGTCTCTCTCTATCACAGAGAGAAAGAGAGTAAGGGACTGAGCGAGCACTGCTGGATTGGCGTTTTATTTCTTGATCGGAGAAGATGAAGAGATTCTTCATCTTAGTAGGCCGGACGGCGGCGTCACCATTAAAACCTTCCCGGATCGCTCCCCGTTCTTTCTCCACTCTCAACGCGTCTCTCCAAGAAAATGACCCTGTTCTCCCCAAAATGCCCCCCTTCGATTACTCTCCGCCTCCTTACACCGGCCCCTCGGCCGCCGAGATCCTCCAGAAGCGCCAGCGTTATCTCAACCCCGCCATCTTCCACTTCTTCAAGAACCCGGTGAGCTATAAATTTTCCACTTCAGGAAAAAGATCGCATTTTTCACGATCCTTTTTTTGTTTTTGTTTGCGCCGTGCAGTTGAATTTGGTCGACGGGAAGATGCAATACTTGTTCGATGAGAACGGGCGACGGTATCTGGATGCGTTCGGAGGGATCGCCACCGTGTGTTGCGGCCACTGCCACCCTGAGGTGGTGGAGGCGATTGTCAATCAAACAAAGCGATTGCAGCATTCCACTGTATTGTATCTCAATCACACAGTCGCCGACTTTGCAGAAGCTCTTGCATCAAAGATGCCCGGTGATCTCAAGGTCCAGCCTTTAGTTTCATGCACAATTATCTAATACGAGTAACAAACTAGAGCCTTCCATTTTAGTTATTTTCATGTAATTTCAAAATTTATTTTATTAATAAAATATATTTTAAATATTATATTTTCATAAATCAGCATAATTAATCAATCTAGTCACTTTAGAAAGAACTTCATAAGTTTGAGTAGACAGTAGAATCAACCGATTCACCAATTTTAATGTTATCAAACAGACTATTAAAATGTTACTCAGCATTAGACAAAATTTAAGTTGAAACAAGTATACTCTTGAATTAAATATTACGTAGAAAACATTTTTTGGTAACAATTAAACTTACACAATGTAAAGTTGAATCAAGTATACACTCTTGAACTCTATAACAAAGACTTTGACTTTGACTCCTCAACTATTAGATATAAAGGGTATATATGTTCATAGTGCTACATCCCTTCTTTGGTTAATAGCAAACTTTGACTTTTACACTATTTCCCTACTCTTCTTTATTTATGTTTTAAAAAATCACTTTATAAGAGCTTTTGTTGTATTTTCTTAATCTAAAATTTCACGATATGTTTTTACCAATAGCCAATTAACTATACCAATAATCAATGTTGTGCATCGAAAAACGAGAAAAGTCAAACTGTCTCAAACAGCGAATTTATATAATTAAAGGAATTAATTTGTTCAAATTTTATAAATTTTGTGTTTAATTGTCCTAAAAGAAGATTAGAATGATATACATGTGCTATGACATTACATATAGTTTTGTCTGTTCAATCCTTACCCCTAAAAATCTGTAATATACGAAGTATATAAAATAAATGGGAAAACATTTATTTCCTGATTCAAGAAAACTCTGAACGCATTCACGGGTTTTTCGATAGTTTGTATATGTTAGAAAATGTGGCTGATAAAAAAATCCATGCCAACCAAACGAGCTCATTGTCTTTATTTGTAACTTTGTACATTTCCATATCTCTGAAATTTTGTTTTTGTGTTTTTACTTAAAGGTTGTTTTCTTTACCAATTCTGGGACAGAGGCCAATGAACTGGCCTTACTAATGGCCAGGTTGTATACTGGTTGTCAAGATATTGTTTCAATAAGGAATGGTTATCATGGCAATGCATCTTCTACAATGAGTGCTACTGCCCAATCTAACTACAAATTCAATATAGTGCAGGTACATATAAATGCCATTATAGATTTTTAATTTGCATTTCTATATTTCCTCAAGTGGCACAAAGAACATATTACTTTAACTTGTTTTTTATAACCAACAGACAGGAGTGCACCACACTTTGAATCCAGATCAGTATAGGGGTGTCTTTGGCTCAGATGGACCGAAATATGCCAGGGATGTTGATGATATTATTACTTATGGAACAACGGGTCGTGTTGCTGGTTTTATTGCTGAAGCCATACAGGTATTGTTGTTGTACGAATGTAAGCCTATGACACCCATGCTGTCACTGAGGTAGGTTGGGGGTTAAATGGCTATTTTTGCACAAATCAGTTCTGGAAGAGGAAAACCCGAAATGGTTCAGTTCTCTGTGGCTCCAGTTCCAGTTCTAAACTGTTTTTTCTACTTTTTACGATAGAAATAAAAAAAATGCAACTGGAACTGCAGGTGCCGGTAACCAGAATCCAGAACTGGAACCATTTTAATCTGGGTCGGTTCACTGTTTCCTCCTTTCTGGTTCTGAACCGGAACATTGTCCCTCCCTACTTGGGCGTGGTCATGGACCGAATCTAGAAAGAAAAGAGGCGGCATGCTGGCTTAAAGTAGTGTAATGTACATCTAGTTATCACTAATTGGTTTTAAGGAAATAAAATCATTAGTTTCTGATCAATGCATTTGATTTGTTTGTCCTTGGAATGTTACTATTGTTTTTTTTATGACAGGGTGTTGGAGGAATAATGGAGTTGGCCCCGGGGTACTTGCCAGCTGTCTATAGCATTATCAGAAGAGCAGGAGGCCTATGTATAGCAGACGAGGTCCAATCAGGCTTTTGTCGGACAGGGAGCCATTTTTGGGGATTTGAGGCCCATGGAGTTGTGCCTGATATTGTTACCATGGCAAAGGTAATATTCTGTCTGGCATCCCATAAACCAACAACATAGAGATGGATACATTTATGATGGCATTTTGTATTTGGTGTATTTATCAGGGAATTGGAAATGGCATTCCACTTGGAGCTGTGGTCACCACTGCCGAAGTTGCAAAGGTCTTAACAGACCGGAATTACTTCAACACCTTTGGCGGGAATCCTGTGTGCACAGCTGGTGGTCTAGCGGTTCTTAAAGTGTTGGAAAAAGATAAGCTCCAACAGAATGCATTCACTGTGGGGTCATATCTTAAAGAGCGTCTCATCTCACTGATGGATAAGCATGAAAGTACGTTTTCTTCTTTTATGTTCAGAACAAGTTAAGAATGGTTTGTTTGAAAAACGAACCTATCTATATCCATATAGCGTTGCCTCGTAAAAAATAGTCCTGATATCCATACAGCGTTTCAGCACCTTTGGTCATTTACAATTGTGGTATGACACTTTTAGTACCCATCCTTAAAATTGGTACCTGTTTTTGAACTTTTTCACATTTATTCCTCTAACTATTGTAGCAATAACACTTTTTGTTTGCCAACTATTCTGATGGTGACACTTTTGATCGTCCAACAACTTTGGCGAATTTCAAAAGACAGTACCAAAAATGTCATAGGAGGACTAAAAGCTGTTACATTCAAGGACATGTACTAAAAGTGTCATTGGTACAAAAGCCAAAAGTAGCAAAACCTATGTTATTTTGCAAAGCAATGAATATGAAGGTTCAAGATTGTATTCAAGAGTGTACCACATTACTCAAGAATGATAAACCAATATACCTTCTATAGTAGCAACTTAAATCACATTTGGGATTTCGCAGTTATTGGTGATGTGAGAGGACGTGGTTTGATGCTAGGAGTTGAACTAGTGACTGATAGGAAGCTGAAGACTCCTGCTAAGGTTGAAATACTTCATCTAATGGAAGAAATGAAAGGTACATTTCTTTTTCCTTACTCTTCTTCTGCGTCAAGGCCTGTTCGGAAAACAGAAGAATGCTCGAGAAAGAAACTGGGAGGAGAGAGCATTGGATAAATTTTGAAAGAAAGAAAACATTCATGAAAGTAAAATATTGGGGTCAAACACAATAATCTTAGGTTTAATATTTGCTAGAATTATTTTTTATTTATATATTAGTATTTTATAAATGCTAAGAAATCTATAGATATGTAAAAAAGGCTTTCATTTTCCCTATTACTTTCTGAGATTCAAACATAGCCCAAAAGTGTTCAGATTTTATCTGATAAACAATTATTGTTTTCAGAGATGGGAGTACTCGTAGGAAAAGGTGGATTTTTCGGGAACGTATTCAGAATCACTCCACCACTCTGCTTCACCAAGGAAGATGCTGGTTTGTCCTTAATCTTTGTATATTTTAGTATTGTCATTAACAATTCTTTCATGATTTTTAATTTATGATTTGATCCTAATCCCGTGTTTTACATTTCTTTTTAAAGATTTTCTTGTAGATGTGATGGATTACTCTATGTCAAAGATGTGAAGTGTGTAGGAGATAAACAAAGGGATATGTCTACCTGTACTTAGCCATTCAAGAACCTCCTCCTCCTTTTATTCTGTCACATATTGTTGTTGTTGTTTGTTTAGCCATCACAAACAAATAAGTGCGCCATATATGGCAGAGAGATTATGAGACATCACCTCGTTGTCTCGATCTCTCACTCCCTTATTCTTTTTATGTTTCATTTGAATGTCTAAATAGTGGACATATTATTATGGGTAAATAGAAACCTGTAGTTTATTCACAGGACTACTTTTGTGGACTCAAGTTTGTTGTGAAATTTCTATCTTTGGTCATTGGAGATTGCAAATTCTTATTGTATGTCATTTCTTAAAAAGGTTGTCTTTGTGAGATGGTCTGCGAATGGAGCTGCTTTCCATGCGATAGGGGCATTAATACGGAGTGACGGAGTATGAATTTTGTGGCTGATATTAAGCACCTCTCCTCCGTTTCACTTATCTTAACTTTTTTGGTTTAAAAAACTTTCTTTTTTAAAGCAATGAATTTGTGATTCTGTTCATTTCTTTCTTATCTGCACAATCCTCAATTACATCATTTTTACTATTCTAATTTTCCACTCAACTTTAACTTAGTAAAGTTGAGCACCTGAGGAGGTAATATATGAGTTTGTATTGAGCATGTTTTTTATTGGATTTGACAAAAGGAACATAGATCTATCAAACTTGAAAAGTACACATAGATTAGATTCAAACAAACCTCACCCAACTACCCAAGTGGTATCTCCTTCCTGAAATGACGCTTCTGTTCACTATTCATTGGTTAACTTAAATCATTTCTAATCTTTTATTTTATTTATTATTTTTTTATAAAATTTAAATTTTCTTAATTAGGTTTTGTACCGGTTTTGATGTAGTTTCTGAATATGTAAATTTTATTTACTAAAACTCATCCGAGTGTGAACATGGATCAAGTTGCTTTATCGACAGTCAAGGACCGTAAACCGAACCAGAACTTCTTTACATGATGGAGGGAGTATTATATGATAGTCCCTATTTTCTATAACAGCAAGATAATATGGCATACAGATGAAAGATTATCAACAAAGATGAACACAGAAAGATCAAGTGTAAACCTTCTCTGATATACCGTGAACAGTTCGTACAAGAATGATAAGCGCTAAGGCTATTTTGAGCAGATACGAAAGTTAACCGCAAACCTGAGTCCTCCGCCCTCTTTTATAGGCGAGGCTCAGGTATGCGTAAAAAGGCTTCTCGCCTAAGTATGGGCCTAACACTTGGCCCATATTGAATACTATTCTAACAGATATATTTAATCAGTGCAGAACAGAAATAGTAAACATCTAAATTATTACAGACAAAACAGACAAACTTGATTCACAATAAAATAGTCTTCAACAATCTCCCCCTTTGTGATCAAGTGTCGTCTTGCATTTATTTTTGAGATCTGAAGTAATGTTTTCTGAAATTTAGCGCATGCTCATACTGTCTCAGCATTCTTCTCTTTTCAAGTTGCTCGTTGATGGGCTTTAGGATGGTCCACACCTTCTCGTATACTATGAGCTCTTCCTCGCTGGCGTCCGCAAGTCTTGGATCTATATTCTCCTTGATCTCCTGCAGCTTAGTCTGGATGATCTTTAGAGTCCCATCACAATACTTGTGAATGTCTTCTACCCACATGAGTCTTTTCTGTTCCTCGTGATTGAGATATATGATAGAGACTGGGTCCTTGAAGATATGATATGGTCTGTACTTTTTGAGCTCTGGACCGTACAGAGTTGGCTTTACCAGATTTGCTTTTCTGACATTGTTTTCCAGGGCCATCTGTAGATCATGGGCAGCATAGAATCTGATCTGTCTCAACATAAATCGTTTGATCGCCTCATAACCTTCTTCGTGTGTCCTGTTTCGACTCAGTGAGAGATACCTACTTACCATGAACATTTGGTAGATATCCTCCATCTTCATCATTATAAAATCATTTTCCTGGCAGATGAATGTGCTGGAGTCTGTTCGTCGAACTTTGAAGCTGTAGAACGGGATGGTGTGATGATCTTCTCTGTGTATATCAAGGATAGCGTCAATAGGGTGGATGTTGGACTTCATGTCTCTTTCCAGTATTTGTCGTTGTTTTCCAGATGATCTGTGCATCAGCATGTGAAGATGTCCGCCAGCCAGTTTGCCCTTAAGGTGAGTCAAGCCACGGATCTTCAGTTCATCGAGTTGTTTGAGCTTGTCTGCGGTTCTCCAAATTCCCTTTCTGATTTCCTCTTGGAAGGGGGCATTTATTCTGATGTTTTCCCAGAGCTTTTCTTTTGGGGGCAACTTGCCTGCCGTTTGTCTGATGACGGATTCTAGCTCCCTGGGTATCTTTTTGTAGTCCTCCCCTTCTTTGAGTTCCTCTTCATCAAGGCGTATGATATCTTCTGCGCATTTGGCCAGCAACTCTCTCAGCCACCAATTTCGCTGCATATCCTCTGTTTCAGCTTCGCATCTAAGATCATCCCACTCTGTCCACTTTCTCGGCCAAACGTCGTGTATCACAGCATCCTCGAGTGCATCATGAATGTCTTTGCCTTGGGGAATGAATTGGACTCTCAGCTGTGATGATCTTTCGTGTGAGGCACAACCGGGTTCACTAGGATTGCCCGTTGTCATCAGCTTAGAACTGAGTTCTGGCTGATGGCCTGACTTGACAGATGAATCAGAGATAGCATCGTCAGGACTTCCATCCCCTCCTCGGACGGTATCCTTTGGAGACACGCCTCGGGATGTTGTCATCGATTTCGAACTGTGTTCTGATCGATGGCCTGAGCTTTGTGATGTACCAGAGGTAACCAACACAGGACTTCCATCCCTTCCTCGAACAGTATCTCTAGGAGATAAGCCTCGGGATGTTTCATCTAGCTCGACCAGGCTAGAGAGTTGGGCTTGGTTGTGGCTCGAGGAAGGTGGTGGTTGGTTGGTGGGTTGGTTTGATGAGGTGTTTGGCTGGGGTTCATGGCTGATAGAGGCTGCTTGCTCAAGTGTCCGAGGTCTCTTGTTCTCCCCCTCATGAGGTTCCGAATCATCGGGATCCTCATGGGAACGTTTGAGGCATCGGGGACTGTCACGGCAAGTGCCGTATTGAGGGCGGTCGTGGTTGAGGAAAACCTGGAGAAGGTCACGTTCGAAGGGTGTAAGGTTGCAAGCGTCGACCTCCAGCAACCGAAGAAACAGGAGATCGGCGAGCTCAAGACGGGATAGGTGGAAGGGATTGGTCGAGGTAGGGGGCGATACTAGTTCTGTATCGTGGGTTCCCCGAGAGGGTGAAGGGGTAGGGGATTTGGTGGAGGTGACAGGGATGACTGGAGTGGGTTGAGGAATGGATTGAGAGGGTGAAGAGTGAGGTTTGGGGTGGCTCTGTTCACTATGAACCGCTGGGATTGTCTTGGAGTCCTGTGCCCAAGCGGTGAATGCTTGTTGCACCCATGGTTTGATGGTGGACTCCATGTAGCGGTTCATGAGAACGGTAATGTCTTCGGGTGTAAGGGGTCCAGTTACGGGGGTTGTAACTGTTGTCACAGCATCAGTGAAGAGAGCTGATGTGTGGCCTGCGTTCAATGATGAAGTCATTTTTGGCGTAGCAGGGCTTCCGACCATCATTGTTTGCACTCCGGTCGTTGTATTCAGGGTGTGTGCACCTGTATGTGCTGTGAATGGTGTAGGTGTCCTAGAAAAATTTGAAAATGTGGGGAATGTGACACCTAGACTCGATGTGTGGAAAGAGGGGGTTGTGACCTCGGGCGGTGGGCCACTAGAGCGCTCAACTGGTTCGGAGGGAACCAGTGAGGTGGGTGAGTCCCGTGTTGTTGAAACGTTAGCCTTTTGGGAGGCTAACGAGTGGCTGGGAGAGGGCGGTGCACGCGCAGTTGAGCCTGATGCTGCGGCTTCTACCCGGGAACCAACAAGATTGGCCCCTGTACTTAAGGATTCGGCCCGGCTTATAGTGATGAAGGGAAGACAGTCGTCAAAGATGTGTAGGTCCTCCTCAGCGACCAAACTTTTTCTGACAGGACGCTGCTTCTCTGCCTTAGGTGAACGGGGAGCAGCAATCTTAGCTGTAACTGGCTCCTTCACTTGTTTGATGATGATAGTCTTGGGGCGGACAGCTATAAATGGAGCTGCATCCTCAGGGGTGGTTTTCTTTGGAGGAAAATCAAGTGGCAGCTTCCCCTTTTGGATTAGAGCAAAGGTGTGCTCCACGTCGTCAATATCGTCGTCGTCATCATCATCGTTAGCATCATCATCATCCTTGGCCACGCTATTGGATGCCTCATCGTCAGCCTTTTTATGGGCCGGGCTGGACGACTCATTGGCAGGTTCCGCAGCGTTTGTACGTGTGCCCTCAGCCGTCTGATTCCTCTCGAGAGAATCGTCAGACTTCCCTTCATGGGGCACACACGCCACTGGTTTCTGTGGCTTACGGGCTCTCTTTGGACCCTTACTTGCTCTAGGCTTAGGCCCCGGGGCAGGTCCAGCTGGGTTTTGCTGAACCATGGGGCCATCTCTCTGTAAGCTCTCTCTATACTGGACAACTGCGGAGTGTCGTGGATTGCCCAAGTCCAGCAGATAGCCTGGTATTGTCATCCCCACAGTGTCATGTTTGAAGCGCTTGAAGTACTGGAGCTTGGGGGCAGTGTACTGATCTTCATCTCTGCGCTTTGGAATCCCTGGGTGGGCGGTCATGTATTCATCAATGATGAGCGCCAACCATCTGGCGTAGGGAATTGTCATGCCCGTTTTTCCGTCCTCTTTGTCCTGGACTTGAGTCACCAGCTCGATCCAGAATAGCTGCGCCATGTCATAATTTTTGTTGAAAACGATCCCATGGAAGATTTGGAAAATCTGCATGTTGCACTTGTCATGGCCAGCGTGCTTCGGAGATAGGCATTTGTTGACGAGGCCAAACAATGTCTTCCATGGGTATGGCAGGTTCATCAACTTGAAGTGAGATAGGAACGGCAGTGGTGCATCATATCCCAATTTCTCCAACCCTTGCATCAGTTCAGTCTTTGAGGGTAGCGGGTCATAGGTTTGGTGGACAGGCAGCTCCAGTGTGGTGCGTAGTGTGGACGTTGTTAATGTCAGCCTTCTGTTGTGGAGCGTGGCACTGATACTAGATGCGTCCTTCTTGGAAGGCATGTGCATGGTCCCCCATAACTGTTGCAGATAGATTTCGGGGACCGTTATAGCTTTGGTGAGTGCCGGCCAGATGTAGTGCCCCTTTAGGATGATAGGGATGACTGGGTCAGGGCACTTGAAGACGGCAAGGTCGAGCTGGTAGTTGTTGTCCTGTAGCCGAACCCACTTGTATTTGGGGAACAGCTG